ACTTGATAGCGATCAAATAACACATTGACAAATGTCCTCCTCTCAGCTTCAATACATGACATCAATAACTGAATTCTATTGTGATCTGATTGGCTCATTGCCAAAACAAGATGACACCTGAGTGGCTCTCTCATGCTCATTGGCTACAATCAGATGAAGGAAAGCTACCTGATATCAACCTAAGCAAGTTGTACTTCCTTTTTCTGGTTATTTGGCTATAACTTTTCATAGAATACAGTACAGATAATTGAACAAACTTTGTTGCATTACATTCTTTTTTTTTAATTTTATTGAATATACAATTAAAAACAAAAAAGACACAGTGGACATAATACAACTTCCCTGGTTTAAACAATACTATTAGTATTACCTTATGAAAAAAAAATTCTTTACAAAATATGCATATAGGATCTATGAACTTTCTAGTAAGCGTTCTTTCAATCATATACATTGTGGTTAAATAACTTTCAATTCTATCTTATAAAGAATACTAGTATAAAAATTTCTAAACTATCAACTTATTAATCAACATTCGTCCCAGCATTCCTCCATGACTCTAGCCAGTTATATACTCCATTCCAAATTTCAAAATAGTCTGTTTCGGTTTTTTAAAGCTCTAATGTTAATCCAGGGGTAGTCAACCTTTTTATACCTACCGCCCACTTTTGTATCTCTGTTAGTAGTAAAATTTTCTAACCGCCCACCGGTTCCACAGTAATGGTGATTTATAAAGTGGGGAAGTAACTTTACTTTATAAAATTTATAAAGCAGAGTTATAGCAAGTTAAAGCATATAATAATAATTACTTACCAAATACCAAACACAACGAGTTGTGTTTGTACCAAACAGTTCTACTTTGGTTTCATCTGACCATATGACATTCTCCCAATCCTCTTCTGGATCATCCAAATGCTCTCTAGCAAACTTCAGACGGGCCCAGACATGTACTGGCTTAAGCAGGGAGACATGTCTGGCACTGCAGGATCTGAGTCCCTGGCGGCGTACTGTGTTACTGATGGTTGCTTTTGTTACGCTGGTCCCAGCTCTCTGCAGGTCATTCACTAGGTCCCCCCATGTGGTTCTAGGATTTTTGCTCACCATTCTTGTGATCATGTTGGGTGAGATCTTGCATGGAGCCCCAGATTGAGGGAGATTATCAGTGGTCTTGTATGTCTTCCATTTTCTAATTATTGCTCCCACAGTTGATTTCTTCACACCAAGCTGCTTGCCTATTGCAGATTCAGTCTTCCCAGCCTGGTGCAGGTCTACAAATTTGTTTCTGGTGTTCTTCGACAGCTCTTTGGTCTTCACCATAGTGGAGTTTGGAGTGTGACTGTTTGAGGTTGTGGACAGGTGTCTTTTATACTGATAACAAGTTCAAACAAGTGCCATTAATACAGGTAATGAGTGGAGGACAGAGGAGCCTCTTAAAGAAGAAGTTACAGGTTTGTGAGAGCCAGAAATCTTGCTTGTTTGTATACAGGTGACCACACACTTATTTTCCACCATAATTTGCAAATAAATTCTTTCCAAATCAGACAATGTGATTGTCTGGATTTGTTTTCTCGTTTTGTCTCTCATAGTTGAGGTCTACCTATGATGACAATTACAGGCCTCTCTCATCTTTTTAAGTGGGAGAACTTGCACAATTGGTGGCTGACTAAATACTTTTTTGCCCCACTGTAAAAGCAGCAAGTCTGATGAAAATTACATTTAATTAATTAAATTTTTAATGAGATCCCTGAGGCTGATGCTGCGAAACTAAATACTGGATATCTGGCTCAATATTTGTAAGGAACAAACGAAGGTCTCCTCTTTCAGAAATATTCAGGCGGTTTCTTTCTTTGGTCATAATATGATTAACAGCACTAAAGCCTGATTCCACAAGATATGAGGTAGGGAAAGGTATCAGTAAACTGAATATCATTTTCCACATATTTGGATATAAGGCAGGCATTTTTTTACTTTGCCATAGGTTTTCATATCCACCACTATCGAATGTATGTTTACTTTCGTCATCATATCTAATTTCTAACAGTTCTTCTTGGCAAGTTATATCAGCCTGGTCAATATTTGCGGTGAAAGGATTTTTCATTCAGTCATACACCTTCAATTTCAAAATATCTTCAAATCGTTTTTCCATGTCCAATTTAAGTTTGTTGAGGTGGCTACTGAATCTGTCAATATCCTCTGGAGTTACATCATCTTTTATAGATGATAATTCAGGAAATTGATGAAATTCTCTCTTCAATAGATTATAACGAAGTAGTTCAAGTTTGTCACTAAATAAGACACAATACTTTGGCAACATATAAGAGTCTTATTATTATAGTTAATGATGAATGGAGAGTTGTACTTAGATGTTTTCCTACAAGATGTTGTCTGTGCACCACACAATGACATTTGGCACTTTTTCCTTCAAATAAGCAACAAATCCACGATAGCAATCTACCATTGATGGTACTCCATCAGTAACACATGTAACAATATTATTCAAAGGAATATTATTTTTTGTAAAGTATGATTTCACAGTATTAAATATAGACAATCCTCTTGTATCTGTAATGAGATTTATTGTGAATAGCATTTCTTCTCATAATGTATTGTTTTCGTCAAAATAACGTATATATGCCATCAATAAAGCATTATTATCTGCAGTGATAGACTCCTCCAATTGCATAGAAAATGAAGTGTTTTGGAGAACACTTATCAGTTTTTTTTCAACATTAACTGCCATTTCATCAATTCATCGCTTTACTGTGCTATCGCTTAGGGGCAACGTTTTTAAATTTTCAGGTATATCCTGATGCGTTACTGTTGAAATAAATTCTTTTATAGAGGGTATTATTACTGTTTCTCCAATATTATAGCTTTTACCACTTTTTGCAATTAATTGTGAAATGCGATAAGCACAAATTAATCCATCTTCATTCGCTGCATATTGTTTCTTAAATGATGCAACGATTGTTGAACGATTTTGAAATTTTTTATATATTTCCTGAAAATATTCAATGGGCTTGTCCTTATCATTTGGATGCTTTGTAAAAAGATGTTCTCGCAATCGACTTGGCTTCATTGCCTCATTGGATAATGTTTTATGACACAATAAACACATTGGGTGTTGTTTATTTACAACAGATTCTATGAAACCCATCTTCAGATACTCTGGCAAATAGCCACGAGCGTATTTCTTTTTTTGAGACATGGCCTCTATCTTGGTCTTGAGGGAATGCCTGGTGGAGTCTGGTTTGCTCCCGATCCGTGCCTGTCACAGCAGGATGAAGAGAGAGCCTGGTTCTTGTCAGAGATGCCTGAAACCTCTATGACTGAGGGCTCTGTGAGGCTCTCAAAATGGTGGCTGCACCAAAATTAGCGGCCGCTTGTATTTCGGCCAGGCCTTCCCAGCCTTGAGGGGCCCTGAGGGGAAGCTTGTTGTTCGTTGTGTCTTTAATTTCCACCCTCCAGAGCCGAAAATGAGACACTTGTGGTTTTATCTCGTTGCGCAGCCTCTGCTGCGATCCAGATCGTCGAGGAAGTCAACGGGAGCCTTGCGACAACGGCGCACTTCGGCGAGGCTCTCTGGCCTCCGAGAGCTCCGCAGGGGGTCGCACAGCTGAGGCTAACACCCTGCGCCTGCTGGAAAGCTCTGTGAGCCGATCGGAGGGCTCGATGGATCTGAAAATTTAAACGGCTCGATTGAACCCCTACCGCCCACCATGAAAGCTGGAACACCCATTAGTGGGCGGTAGGGACCAGGTTGACTACCACTGTACTAGTGTGTGAAATAAGAGATGATAAGAATTGGTGGGTAGCAGAACAGGAGGAAAAGCCTGCATTTCAAACTAATTGGACAATGTGATTTATGACTGTTAATTGAAGGAGGGAATTGTGCTTAGATACTATGTGCTCAGGGGAGGGGAATCCAGTTTTTAGCTTCAACTATGTTAGTGCCGAAGATATACTATTCCCATAAAGATTCTTTAAGGTAAACAATGCCTCAAAGTTCTTTGAAGAATTTCATCTGTCAGAACCATGACAGCACATTTCATACCATGTCTGAGGATTCGAAAATTTAAACGGCTCGGATTGAACCCCTACCGCCCACCATAAAAGTTGGAACGCCCACTAGTGGGCGGTAGGGACCAGGTTGACTACCACTGTGTTAATCTATCCATTTCCGCACAGGATAGGATTTAATTATTACTTCTTCTTCAGTAGGGGTTTCTTTTCTCTTCCATTTCTGAGCATAGGTTAGTCTCGCTGCAGTTAGAATATGTAGTACTAAATATAAGGATCCTTTGCTGGATTTCTCCTTGGTAATCCCTAATAAAAAAGTTTCTGGTTTTAATTTGATTTTTTTGTGATAATATCTCTTCCAACCAATTTTTTTCAGATGCCAAAATTCTTGAGTTTTTGGGCATTCCCACCACATGTGGTAATAGGTCCCTGGTGATTTTTTACATTTCCAACATATCAATGAGATTTTTTTGTCCATTTTTGCTAATCTTATGGTGGGAAGATGCCACCTGTAGAACATCTTACATAGATTTTCTTTATAGTTGGTGGCTAACGTTAGCCTCCTATTCCTATCCCATAATAATTGCCAATTATCTAAATCGATACTATAGCCAACATTTTTGCTCCAAATTAGCATTGTCTTGTTCTAATAAATATTGATATATCTTTTTTATCGTTTTATCTTCTGTTCCTAGTAAGATTTTATCTAATTCTGTGTGTTCTAATTTTATCCCGGGTTCTTTTTTTATCTTTTCTCTATCGTGATTATATTTGCAGATATGTCCACCATTCCAGCTCTATGCCATCTTCTAATAATTTTTTCCTTGTTTTCAACTAGTGCCATAGGTTCACCACCCCTGATTTAGGGTGTGCAGTTATAGATGAAGTAGCCCCATGGCATGTCTTTGTATATACCTGCACAAAGAAAAACAGTGGTGAAAAAAAGATCTGAACTAACTCTGAATCAATTTCCAAAAAAATACCTTTAGATGGAAAGTAGGATTTGCTTTCTGCTTTGTGAGGCCAGTCTACCACCAGAGGTCCAAATCTTCGGAAGCTGGCAGTTATTTCATCTAAAATAGAGGGGGAGAGGGAGGAAGGGGGGGGAATGCTGTTATTATTTTGGCTTGCAGTTCTTATCTTAAGTGTTTTTTCACATCTATTTCTGAGCCACTTTGTTCTTATAATTCAGAGATGGGGAACTCTGGTTTATGGGCCTAATCTGTACATACGGAGATTTGATCAAGATATTCATATGGTCCCAGAAGAGATCATGCATCATCTGAGGTCTATCTTGAGCACAAAAGCCACAGCTATCTTTTACCTCAGGTTTTCTAAAAATCACATAATTATGCCTCCCTTCAGCTATTCCATACATTCTTCAACATATTATTTACCTACATTTATATCCACACATACATATATACTGCATATAAATACACTACTGATAAAATATTTCCCAGGTATCTCAAAAAAACAAACAAACAAAAAACAACAACAGGGTTTTGCAAATATTCCTGACCAGATGTAGGTATAATTCAACAATAATATTTTAAGGAGTAAAGGAGAATGAGATATAAGTAAGTGTGCAATTTACAGAAAAGAAAGCAGAAAGAGTAATACACTAAAAACAGCAAGAGCTGGAGTACTAAATCTTATTTAAAGTATGTAATGTGATAGAAAGAAACGCTTAACTGTTTAGTAAGTACAATGCTATTGACAGTCTAGATAAGTATTAAAATAATATAATATTAAAACATTTAGATAAATAAAATGTAGAAGTATAATAAATAAATAATAAATAATAAAATTCTATATAGAATACTTTTAGTATAATTGATAATGCTTACTTATTATTTATGCAATAATGTAGAGTTATATAAGAGAAGGAGAAAGAAAAAAGAAAAAGAAAACGGTTCAAGGACTTTGAATTATCAAGTTGAATCTGCAGTTCACTGTTACCTATTTTTAACTGCTATAGTGACTAGCTGATATCGCAATTTGAGTCTGAAAGAAATTAGTAAGTATAGAAATAATCCATTCTCCTCAGTTTAAGGGAATTATAATGTTGTTTTGAAAATCCTGGGACATTGCAATAAAGGAAAACACATTTAATGGTCTTGATTGCCTCAGAGTGGCAAGGCCACATACAATGGGATATAAGGATGATGCTGTACCTGCTGTATAGAAGACCAATGTGACCACATTGTGCCTAGCCAATTTCTTCAACATAGAGGAAATGAGAGTGTAGTAGACATTTGCTGATCTACCGTATTTCCCCCAAAATAAGCCCCAACCAATAATAAGCCCTAGCATGATTTTTCAGGATGCTTATAAGCCCTACCCAAAAAATAAGCCCCAGTTAAGATTGTAAGCCAGATGGACTCATTTAGTGCTGTATTTTCCCTAAAATAAGACCTACCTGGAAAATAGGCCCTAATGCGTCTTTTGGAGCAAAAATTAATATAAGACCTGGTCTTTTTTGTGGGGAAACACAGTAGTAAAATTCCAGACCTCTGAGAGACTGAGCTGATTTCAGATTGGTATTCAATATCATTCAGTCTTTTCAGTGATAGCCTTTTGATATGAGCATCATCCAAAGCTATCAGGAAATCTGCAGGCAATCCAGCAGTTTGTGGTTTCTGCTCTACTGCATAAAACATCATATTGTAGGGCTTGAGTATGTCTTCTCTGCAAAAATGTTGAGGCTTGTGACTAGGAAGTCAGAAAGTTGAAGAGAGAAAAGCCCAATTTGAAATAGCCCCAATCTTGCTTCCATCTGGTTTTGTTTTTAAACTCTGTGGGCCTCTCTAACTTAAAAGATATAGATTACTACTAGCTATTCAGAATATTAATCTATTATAAACATTTTTTTAAAAAAATTAATTGATTCTGTTTTAAACCAAATATAAGCCCTTTTCAGGCACTGGATTGAAACCCTTAAGTGATGGATAACCACTATCTTATTTCTAAAGTTTAGATGGTCTCTTGGCTGAGCTATTTCCTTGAGACATAAGAAAAGCACAATTGTAAAAAATAATTCTATTAAAACTGTAACAAAACATGAAAATGACAGAGGAGTAGCACACTTATACATTGAAATATATTACTCAGTTTTATTTCCTACCAAAAGATATTAGCAAGGCTATTGTGGTTACCAATAAATCATAACCAATCTTTTGAAACTCACTAACTTCCACAATTCTCCCATAGTGGCAAGGTATGATTCCTTGTTAAGAATGGCCAAGTTTTCTGGCAAATGAATTGTCAGTGATTGGTCCTCCAATCTTTCCAGATTCTTTTTTTCACTTTCTTTAACAAGAGGTGCTCTGTCTACAGGGAAGTTTCACCATATCTTGTTTTTCAGATAATTTATCTCTTATTTTAGATCATCTCCCATTCATCACAAAAGCAATCTGAGAGTGAGCTACTAAAAAGCAGTTTATCCAAAACTTCTAAAATGACTAAGTTTCATTCTGGAAACTTCACCCAATAGCAGAAATAAAACATGAGTACTTTTCTCAACATTGTATCACATACATTCTTGCACAATTCTATCTTTATTTCCACAGAACTTACCAGAGCTTATTAAATCACATATAGCTGATTTTTTTCTCAACTCTCAGTTGAAACCTATGCATATTTATTCAGAAGTATATCTCATAGAGTTCAGTGAGACTTCTCAATTGTTTATTTTGCCTCCACAAATAATTGAGATGGTTCTATATAGCCTATAACATGTCAGGCAATTCACCTTCATCAATGTCTGGAGGAAGACCACCAACAAACACCTTTCGAGAGAAATGTTCTATCCGTTCTCCATTTTGATGTGCAGGGTAACAGGTAGGTGAATTCAATACACCAACTTGGTCACTATGACCATCATCTAGTAAACCATTATCTATAGGAAAGCGGGAAAAATGACCTGGGAAAGAAAAGGAAGGAAAATGTAAAATATTCTATGGATAAAGAAGTCTTTATTAAGTTTATGGGTAAAGAACTCAAATCTGCCAAAAGTCCACACATTGTCAAAAGAAGACTAACTGAAGTCACTACTAAGATGAAAAGCAGATATGAAAGCACAAGTGAAATTAACTACAAAAACAAGGGTCTCATTCTGGTTTGGCCTCTTTGGGACTGCTATGGGAAGAATGAACTTAGTTTCATATGTTAAGTGCATTCCATTGAAACATTTGACTTGTTCAATATATTTCAACATGCATATATTTGGCCTTCATTTCAACAATATTAATAAAGGGTATAGTATAACAAATATCATGTACATTTGTAATCAATTGTGTAATTTAAATAAATCTAAATGCAAATTGCACCTATAAACAGCTCCATATCATCCAACTATAACCAGGCATCACTCAGATTATCTTCATGAGAGTTGTCTCACATTACCTGACACCTTCTGCTCTGAAGGGTCTGTAGAAAAGCCTTCCTTGATATTAACAGCAAGAAGATTATCTTGACTTTGATCCTCTGAATAATTATTCGAGAGCAAGGGAATTATGATGGAGAATCTTTGAGAATCCAGAAGGGCAGAAATCCCAGAAGACTGGAGAAGAGAAAATGTCATTCTCTTGGACAATCCCTTCCAACTCTATGATTCTTAGTGCCTTTCAAGCCAAGGAAAAGAATTCTAATTTTCTTCTATTGACTTCTGTTTTTGTTTAATGATAACTCACAAGACAATACACAATCTTAGGTCTTTTATGAGGATAAAGGGGACATACAGACGCTATAACTATAAAATAAAATGTGACTAAAATTGTACTTTGCCATCACAGGGAGTGCTTTTGGGGGGGGGTGTTTGTGTGTGTGTGTTCCTATACCTCCCTTTGAACCCAATCAAATAGAGCAGATTGCAGGAAGCCAGAGTGACCCTTCTATGATTATGGACTTCTAGCTACAAAGCACATGGAACCAGTGTTGCTATGTGCCTAATGAGACTTACCTAAGTCAAGATAAACATTCATTAAATACTAAGAACTTGGCCTGCTCATAACAGCCAAGTAAATGAGGAAGAAAGAGCCCAAATGAAGATAGGTTGACCAGGACAGTCTTCTAAAAGGACTGATAGCCACTGTCCAGTCTTAGGAGAAAAATATAGTCTTACCCAAGAAATGAATATAAACAATAATTTTTGGTATTTCATTTTTAGGCCTACATTACAGATACAGCAGAACATAATTGCAAATTTAATCTTTTTCTTCTATTCCTTTATTCTTTATTTATTTATTGGCCACCTATCTTACCATAAGAGAACTGTGGGCATAAAAATACATCCACATTAAAACAAGAGTAAATTAAAACCAAGATTAAAATCAAGGACACATGGGCAGGGATGGAAGGGGGGAGGTGGGATCTGTTGTTACTTGATCAACCACCTCAATTGTGCTGTCCCTCCAAGTCAACTGGCAGATCCAGGTCTTTAGGTCCTTACAAAAGGATAGTATAATTGGGGCCAACCTCATATCAGGGGGCAAGATGTTCCAGAGGGCAGAAGCAACAGTAGAGAAGGCTCTCCTCCTGGACCCCATCAGCTGCAATAATCGAGCTGATGGGACCGCAGCATGCCTCCTCTGCCGGCACGAGTAGGATGGGCCAATCTCAGTGGGGTGAGATGGTCCCTCAAATAACATGCTATGAAGGTTTTTTAAACACCTTGAATTGCACCTAGAAGCAGACTGGCAACCAATACAGCTCACGGAGCAGTGGTGTTACATGGGCCATTCTTGGGGCCCCCAAAACTGCCCATGCCGCTGCACTCTGCACCACTTGTAGCCTCTGAATGCTCTTCAAGGGTAGCCCTATGTAGAACATATTACAATAGTTCAATTGTGAGATGACTAGAGACTGAATGACTGAGCACAGGGAGTCCTGATCCAGGAAAGGCTGAACTGACACACAACATGAAATTGTGCAAAAGTTCTCCTAGCTGCAACTGTCAACTGCTCCTCAAGCAGCAGCCGCGAGTCTTTGAGAATCCCCAAGTTGTGGACCAGATCTCTCTGGAGCAGTGCCTTCCCATCCGGGGACAAGATAACAAACTCCTGGATCCCAGGGCCCTGTGTATCCAAAGCTATTCAGTCTAGCCAGCATTCAATCAAAGCCTGTTGTCCATCAGCCAGGCTCCCACAGCCTCCAGGCACTGCGAGAGGGTGGCCACAGCATCACTTGGGTCACCAAGAGTAGAGATATAGTTATATTTCTGCTAATTGCCATCTTAGCTTCAGGAGAGCTTGAAAAAAAATATTTTGCAAATGAAAATGAACAAAGTTGTATCAACTTTTAGTGCAGTCCACCAGCAATTTTCCAAATGTGGCAGGTTGAAAACATGCATACCTATGGTTAGTTTTTCAGATACAAAGCATTTTGTTTTAATATTTCAAGAAAAATCACATTCAAATAAAAATAATGTCAACTCCTTATCATGAAATGTGATAGCCTTATCTTCAATTATGTAACCTTGAAAAAAAAATCAAAATGATAGTTATAAATGTACAAATCCCCAAAAACCACAGCTTCAAATTTTCAGACGATTAATCAAATGGAATCTAAATCCAACCATTATTGATTTCTTTCCTTCTTTTCACTTGCCACCCAGCTATTTTTCTATACAGGTAGTCCTTGACTTACTATCCGGCTTCCCCATTGAATTTGCTTGTAAGAAGGTCACAAAAACTGCAACCACCAATTGCCAAGTGTCTGAATTTTGATCATGTGACTGTGGGGATACTGCAAAGGTTATAATTATGAAAATGGTCATAAGTCACTTTTTTCAGTGGCATAGTAACTTTGGCCACTAAATGAACTGTTGTAAGTCGAGGACTACCTGTATAATCCAGGTATCTGACTATGAAGCACCTCTGTCTTGTCAAACAACCTTTAAAGATTTAAATATTTAGATCCAAATATAATCCCTATCACAGTGTTTTTTCAACTTAGTAACTTTAAGATTTGTGGATTTCAAATCCCAGAATTTCCCAGCCAATATGCTGGCTGGGGATTTAAGGAAGCTGAAATCCACACATCTTAAAATTGTCAAGATTGAAAAACACTGATCTATCATATCAGACTAACGCTTTGCTATCTATAAACTCTTTGTATGAATCCTGTAAATAAATGAAAACACTTTAGAGGATAAGGAAAATCTCTATTTTAGAATCCTTATTGGAAACCATTCCTTGTAATACCTTTAGTAAAGCACAAAAATCAAGAATAAAAAAAAATCTAGAAATGTTTGCTGAAATAAGGTGAAATGAGTGGAGAAAGTAATTACAAATCAAATTGTGATTTACTTTAATGAATAGCTATTGGTACCTTCAAAATTCTGAAAAATCAATTTTATCTGCTTCAACTCCAAATGACATTTCTTGTATTATAGCAAACAAAAGAAAATTACCTCGCTTTCGTCCGTAACTCCTTGCTGCATGTAAACAAAGAACAAATTGATTGTAAGAGGTTGAAGAATTGCTTATTTATTCATGGAGATTATGTAAAAGATTTGAGTTTAGCTCAAATAACTTCACTCTGTAACATTGCTATACATGGGAAAGAGTTGTTTTATTTTATAAAACTGCATGTAATATCAGTGATCTATTTCACAATGGAAATGCCTTGGGATAGTGTTTGGTTCGTTGTAAAACAAATATGAATAAAACAGAAGTGTTTCTCCTCTTTGGATATTTTTACTTAACAGAATAACAGAACGACACAGTTGGAAGGGACTTTGGAGGTCTTCTAGTCTAATGCCCTGCTCAAGCAGGAAACCCTATGCTATACCTGTACATTTGGTTTTCTTGCCTAAATGTAGAACGTTACTTTTTTCACTATTGAATTTCATTTTGTTAGATAGCGCCCAGTGTTCAAGTTGTCCAGATCCTCCTGTATCTTAAGCCTGTCTTCTGGAGTGTTGGCTATTCCTGCCAGCTTGCTGTCGTCTGCAAATATGATGAGTTCCCCATCTATCCCTCGTCCAAATTGCTGATGAAGATGTTGAAGAGCACTGGGCCTAGAACTTTTCTTCAACCTTATTCTGGCTTTCTTCCTTTGCCAACTAGGCTTCCATATCAGTGCTTTTAGATCATCAAATATATCTCCCTCTATTATTATATATGTTATTTGAAATAAAGGAGACCATTTAATTGCCATTTTTTGGAAGGACTAGCCCATTTGTATTCGTTGTCTCCCTGCTATTCCAATTCCCCATGCTTGCCCTGATATGTTTGTCTTCCATTCTTCTTCTTTCTCAAATTTCTTCTGATTTATATAGAAAGTCATTTCCATTTTCAGTGTTGTCACTTCCTTTTCTGGATTTTCCATCAGCTGTATTTGTTGGCCAATTGAGTTCTCTGTCTTAATATTTGATTGTCCCACTTCTTCTGTTATCTTCTGCATTGTTGGTTCTTTGGTTGTAGTCAAAGTTTGGATTTGTGTATCTAAGCTGGCATCTTGATCTTTTATGTTAGATTTATTTTATCACAAGCTGAAAGAATGGTTTCATGTATTGCTTTCAACATGGAAAGGATCTTTTCCTGGTCTTCATCCATCTCTTTCATGTGTTTATAAATAGTCTTTCTAGTAGAAGTCATTTGACAAGCAAGCTTTTATAGTCCAAGATATTTCAACATATCATATAGCAGACATGTCAAACACAAGGCCCAGGGGCCGGATGCGGCCCGCGAAGTGATTTCATGTGGCCCACGAAGCCATCCTGGAAACAGTGAGGGAACGGCCCCCGCTGCCTTGGCCCTGGACCAGGCTGGCGGGAAGGAGCCAATGTACAATTTTGTGGTGGCTATCTCTGCTGAGACGCATTCAGTCTTAGCTCCACAAGGCTGTCTGGAAACAGTGAGGAATCAGCCCTTACCTTGTCGGCCCCACCCTCTGGGTGCATGCTGGGGAGGTGTCACCCTTTGTGAGGAATGAAGAAATGCACCATCACCTGGAAGTAGCCAACAAATGGCCCTGGCCTACTTCACATATCCGGCTTGATGGGCTTCAGAGGAGGGGTTTCGGCAGTCAGCAGGGTGCTCTCCTCACAGCACTGAGAGGCTGAGCTGGGTGGCACGAATCTGTTGAGAAGTGCAATGCTACCTAAACCCCAGCCTACCCAGTTTCAGTAGGCAGCAAAGCTGGCGAGCATCGCAACGCCCGTCTCAACCTCTCAGCACTGTGAGGAGAGTGCCCCGCTACCTGCTGAGACCGGGCAGGCTGGGGGCTGGGGAGCATCGCGCTTCTTTTCAGATTCACGCCACCTGGCTCAGCCTCTCGAAGGAGGTAAGTGCAGGTGGAGGAGGAGGAGGTAAGTGCAGCTGGGCCCCCTTGGGGAAGTGGTGCTGGGCTTGGTGCCACGGGTGCTCGAGGGCCAGGCTGGGCATTTGACCTCTGCTGCCCAGGGCTCCGGGCAGCCCGCACCACCATCCAGCCCCCCCACATGGCCTGAGAGGAACAGTGAGGCTCCTCCAGTAGAACATGCCTTGGCACTTGTCCTGGTCCCACCCCCTTCTGCCAGAGACCCTAAGATCTGTCCCACTCCTGCCCAGGCCCCCACAGGCACCATTGATGCGAACTATGTAGAGCTGGCCACGTCCATCCAGTAGGCCGCACCCACCCTGGCCACCACCCCCAGGGCAACCATAATGCTGATGTGTCCCTCAATGAAATTGAGTTTGACACCTGTCATATAGTGACCAATATTCCTCAAATAAAGAGACAGGAAAGCAATTTCCCACATATAACTCTGAGAGTCAGTAAAGGTTTACATTCACAATTCAAATAGGCCAATTATGCTGCCCAACTGTTCTCCTACAGCCAAATCTCTCACAGGTGGTGCCAAGATCAGAAAAGTCTTATCTAAGGTCTGGGCTTTGAGCCAAGTTTCTTTTAGGAAATAACAAGTTGTAATACCAAACTTCGCCACAAGATGTCACCAATGTCGTTTAAGGTTTTTTAAATCCAAAATTTTTATAATCCCCTTTCCAATTTTATTTCTTTTTTGTAAACAAAAACAAGAGTCTCCAATAAAAATAGGAAAATTTTTGGTCCCCAAGTTTCAGGAACATATAAATCCAATTAGATTAAAGTTGTTCTTTTAATGCTTTAATTATCCTGGATAGTCAGATGCCGCTATTCTTAGAGGGTGGGATAGAAATTCCCTTCCTTCTCTCCTCACGGGGGGAAAGATACTTCAGGCAGCTTTTACAGGATGAGAAAGTACTTAGGGTAAAGAGAAGATCAGATCTCACTAGTTTTATCCGCGTTGCTTTCAAAGTGCTTGGTGGTGAGTTTGACGTCGGCTGTCGGCAGCCTAATGACGGGCCATATTACTATGGCCGGTCTTTCCTCCACCAGTTTGGAGAGTTGCCCTGGATTGAGCAGAATGTAACTGGAGAGTTAGTTAAGAACTGATAATACTACAGTCTTTTGGCTCCCTCATTTGGTCAAACAAAATCGCTGCAATGTAAACTAGAAAAAAAAAAACTTGAAATCTGTGCTTCTTTGTTTAACAGCCCACACAGTTGATCCAGTCAGAAGCAAACAAAATCAGAACTATTTCTCCCTGTCCTCACAACAGAATCAAAACACCATTTAGGCAGTCTTTGTTTTGAAAGCAAAGAAGTTCAGCAGAGTCGATTAAAGAAAAATGTGGGTTAGACAGCATCACCACCAGATATATCCGTAGCTGCCTGACCGGCCGTACTCAGCGTGTGGTCCTCAATGGAACCGCATCTACATGGAGGGAAGTGTGTAGTGGGGTGCCCCAGGGCTCTGTTCTGGGGCCAGTGCTCTTGAACATCTTCATCAACAATTTGGACGAGGGATAGATGGGGAAATCATCAAATTTGCAGATGACACCAAGGTGGCAGGAACAGCCAACACTCCAGAAGACAGGCTTAGGATACAGGAGGATCTGGACAGACTTGAACACTGGGCACTAACAAAATGAAATTCAATGGTGAAAAAAGTAATGTTCTACATTTAGGCAAGAAAAACCAAATGTACAGGTTATAGTATAGGACAGGGGTGTCAAACTCAATTTCATTGAGGGCCGCATTAGCATTGTGGTTGCCCTCAGAGGGCTGGATGGGTGTGGCCAGGGTGGGTGTGGCCTACTGGGTGGGTGTGGATGGAGTGGGTGTGGCCTATTGGGTGGGCATGGCCAGCTCTACATCGTTCGCGTCAAGGGTGACTGTGGGTGCCTGGGCAGGAGTGGGACAGATCTAAGGGTCTCTGGCAGAAGGGGGTTGGACCAGGGCAAGCCCCAAGGCATGGTCCATTTCTTCATTCCTCACAAAGGGTGACACCTCTCCAGCATGCACCCAGGGAGCAGGGCTGACACAGAGGTTGGTTCCTCGCTGTTTCCAGACAGCCTTGTGGAGCTAAGACTGAATGCGTTTCAGCATAGATGGCCACCACAAAATTGTACATTGGCTCCCGGCCAGCCTGGGCCAGGGCCAGGCAGCAGGGGCTGTTCCCTCACTGTTTCCAGGATGGCTTCGCGGGCCACATGAAACCACTTCGCGGGCCGCATCCAGCCCCCAGGCCTTGTGTTTGACATGTCTGGTATAGGGGGTGTTGTTGTTAATTGCGAAGTCGTGTCCGACCCGTCGCGACCCCATGGGCAATGTTCCTCCAGGTCTTCCTGTCCTCTACCATCTTCTGGAGTCCATTTAAATTCACACCTACTGCTTCAGTGACTCCATCCAGCCATCTCATTCTCTGTCGTCCCCTTCTTCTATTGCCCTCAATCTTTCCCAACATTAGGCTCTTCTCCAGGTATAGGGGGTACCTTGTTCAATAGTAGTAACTGTGAGAGGGACTTCAGAGTCCTAGTGGACAATCACTTAAATATGAGCCATCAGTGTGCTGCAACTGCCAAAAAGACCAACACAGTGCTGGGCTGCATTAATAGAGGGATAGAATCAAGATCACATGAAATATTAATAGTACTTTACAATGGCTTGGTAAGGCCACACTTGGAATACTGCATCCAATTTTGATCACCATGATGTAAAAAAGATGTTGACACTCTAGAAAGAGTACAGAGAAGAGCAACAAAGATGATTAGGGGACTGGAGGCTAAAGCATATAAGGAAAGGCTGCTGGAATTGGGTATGTCTAGTTTAACGAAGAGAAGGACAAGGGGGGAAATGATAACAGTGTTCCAGTATCTCAGGGACTGCCACAAAGAAGAGGGAATCAAGCTATTATTATTATTATTATTATTATTATTATTATTATTATTATTATTATTATTATTATTATTATTATTATTATTATTATTATTATCGATCATCGCACAGTCAGCCAGATGTTCAGACTGGATTTGGCATTTTGTCTACCTATCGAGTCCTTACCCAGGACCTGGGATAGGCAGATGTGGATGTTTGATGGATTACAGATATCGTCGCAGGATGGAAGCAG